TCTTTCCTAATTACGCCTAATTAGAGCCGGTTGTCCAGTAATGAGCTTGTTATGCAGCTGGGCCCTCATAGTTAGATGGACACTTCATGTGCTCTTACGTAGCTGAGGTGATGTCTCACATCCAGCAGTGCCAGTTCCTCTCTGGTGCTGATGACTGGTGGCACTTGGATGACCTCAGACTTAATGTCCTATCTCACAACCTTTGTATCCCATCAAAATTCTAAATGAACCATCATCCTGGTGGTGCCATCGTCATCCTGGGTTGAGAAGAGCCCCGTTGCTTCACCTGATCATCTCATTGTGCCTGCTGAGCCCTCATGTCCAAGAGGGTCCTCACACCTCCTAGAAGCTGCGTTTTGGGGACCTGAAGGTCTCTTGGTGGTGGAAGATCCTGGGAATTGGAAACCAGCCTTCCCAACCCCAAAGTGATGTGGGGATGGGAGGAAGACTCAAATTCAGGGATGGTTTTGGGAAGTCCAAAATGTGATGTCGCAGCACAGAAGCTTTGTCCTCCTGCTCTTCACAGTCATCAAGGGGCTCCACTGGACCAGCTGGTCTATCCCTGGTGTCTTCAGATTTCTCCTGCAAGGATGATATGATTCCAATCTCTGCTCCGCAGCTATGGAGAGGATCCACTTCCCCATCACAATTAATTAAGCTGTGGTTCTTATTACTTCCCTTTAGTCAAGGTCTGAAGACTTTGACTAAACTTAAGACTCAAAGGTGTGGCTTTTGTCCACGGGCAGTGGAAGGGAAATCAGGACCTTGCTTCCAGCTTGAACATCCAACAGGTCAGGATGCCTTCTACCAGGACCAGTTCTTCAGAAGCTCTGGTGGCATTGCTTGGGTGTCCCTTTGGCCCAGGGCTCTGTTGTCAGTTCCCAGTGCTGAACTCGGGAATTTGTTCAATACCATAAATATGTTCAATTTTGTTTTGTTTTTTCCTTCTGGCCAAATAACAATTTTCATAAAATTTCTGGGACACTGATATTCCCTGGGAGTTACAGGAGGTGATGGAAACTTCTGCTGAAGAGATCCTCCTGCTATTCATTTATTTGGAAGAGGGGAGAGATGCCTCCTGGGGTGGTGGGGTTGGCAATGGAGTGATGGGGTCAGTGTTGGGGTGGCACTTCCATGATGTCTGTCCCCAGCCATCCTTTGAGGCTTTCTTCAGCGAGATCCTCCTCTGCAAGAACGAGCTCAATGTCACCCTCAACAACCTGTCCCACTGGATGAAGGATGAGTACGTGGACAAGAACCTGGTAAGAAGGAAACTCTGGGAAAAGGGAAGCTGGGGAGAGGGATTGCTGATGGGGAAGGCACTGCTGAGGTTGTGTTCTTCTTTGAAGGTGATGCAGCTGGACTCTGCTTTCATCCGCAAGGACCCCTATGGGGTGGTGCTCATCATAGCGCCCTGGAACTACCCCATCCACCTCTTCCTGGTGCCCCTCATCGGGGCCATCGCTGCCGGTGAGCCCACCCTTCCAGTCCCCTGACCTGCCAGTGCCAGGGTCTCCCCAGGGGTGTTGTTCCCAGAAGAGCTGGCTGTCACCATGTCACTGTACTGATGTCCCTTTCATCTTCCCCCAGGGAACTGCGCCATCATCAAACCCTCAGAGATCTCCAAGAACACAGAGAGACTTGTTGCTGAAACGCTGAGCTGTTACCTGGACAGTGTGAGAAGCCCTTCTTGTCCTTGCCTGTTGTTCCTGAGTTGTGGTGTTCCCAACCCTCACAATCACCATCATCTGTGTGCAGAACCTCCTCCCTTTGCACTCCCAAAGGCAATGTCCCAGCCTCTGGGGATGCTGTTGGTGGGGACAGATGGTGACACAAGGGCATTTTTTCTGTTTCCTTGTAGGACTGCTTTGCAGTGGTGACCGGTGGTGTGCCAGAGACCACCAGGCTGCTGGAGAACAAGTTTGACTACATCTTCTTCACTGGTACGTCCCATAGGACAGAGGAGAGCCCTGCCTGGATTTTGTGTGAGGAGGAAGATGGGTTCCCTCCAGACATCCCTGCTAGGAAGGCAGGGATTGGGTTGGGGATGCGTGCCAGGATCTGTTGGAGGATCTGGGATGTGTATCTGAGCTCTGGCAGGACTCAGTGCCACATCCCAGAGCCGTGTGATGCCTGGTGGGATTCCCACCTCAATCCATGTTTTTCCTGCCTGCAGGCAGCCCCCCAGTGGGGCGGGTTGTGATGACGGCTGCTGCCAAGCACCTGACCCCGGTGACACTGGAGCTGGGGGGCAAGAACCCCTGCTACGTGTCTGACACCTGTGACGTGACCAACGTGGCGCGGCGCGTGGCCTGGGGCCGCTTCTTCAACGCGGGGCAGACCTGCATCGCACCCGACTACCTGCTCTGCACCATAGAGATGCAGGAGAAGCTCATGCCTGCCCTGCGTGAGGCCATCACTGAGTTTTTTGGCCCCAACCCCCGAGAATCCCCGGATTTTGGCCGCATTGTGAGTGACAAGCAGTTCCAGCGCCTCCGGGCACTGCTGGGCAGCGGGCGCGTGGCCATCGGGGGACAGACGGACGAGGCAGAGCGCTACATCGGTGAGGCTTGGGGGTCACTCACATCTTGGTGGGCACATTGGGCATTTTCAGGGGGTCTTCAAACAGAGGGGAGGCTCTAGAGGGAAAAGAGTTGTAGGGGTGCTTAAAAATGGGTCCTGAGGGGAGGTTTCTGATCGCTGTGGCTGTTGATCTGTGGCTCTGATCTCTGCGGTGCTGTTGGGTTTTCTCTCTGCAGCTCCCACAGTGCTGGCGGATGTGCTGCCCTCAGACCCTGCCATGCAGGAGGAGATCTTCGGGCCCATCCTGCCCATTGTCGTCATCGCCAACATGGATGAAGCCATTGACTTCATCAACGCGCGGCCGCGGCCACTGGCCCTCTACGCCTTCTCCTGTGATAGCAAGGTGTGTCTGTGGAGCATAAGAAGTGTGGAGGGAAATCAGGAACCACCTCCACAATCCCCAGGACGTGCTCTGAAGGGTCTTCAGAGCCCAAACACTCTGGGAACATCTGATGGGTAAACTGGGTAACATTTGCCAAGTGCAAGCCCTTCATCTGCCTTCTCTGCTCCCTCCCAGATAGTGAACCAGGTCCTGGAGAGGACGAGCAGCGGAGGCTTCTGTGGCAACGACACCCTGATGCACTTTACACTGAGCTCTCTGCCCTTCGGAGGCATTGGTAGGTCTAAAATCCCCAGTCCTGGCCTTTGGGAGCCAGGTGTGATCCATGGTGAGGAATGTGCGTTTCCTCCTGCTGCCAGTGTGGTGCTGGGCTGGATCCCTTAATGTCCATCAGGAGCCAGGTTGTATCTTCATTCCAACTTTTAGGACAAAATGGTAGGAACAAAACAGTTCTGGAGAAACCTGGAGAACCTCTTATGAGATCTTGGAAATCCCCCTTGGAGAAGAAGAAATTTTTGGTCTCCAGAGGCACCAATTTTTGCTTTCTCAGGTGAAAAGTGAGGCTGCTCAGCCCTAGGCTGTGGGTGCAGCATGGTCCAGGGATACAGGAATACAGGAATGTTGTTTCCCAGAATACTTCCCCATGTCTTGATCTCTTCCCAAAATATTTCTGGGATAAGTCCCCTTCATTTGGTGCTGCCCTTGCTCAGCATCTCTGTCGGGGCTGGCACTTGAGTCAGACATAATGAAACACGCAGACAATTAATTCCTCACCTGCCTGTGGCTCAGGGAACAATTTTTTATACTTCCCATTCCGTAACTTATCTTAATTGGGAATGATTCAGACCAACCACCTTCAATTATCAGGTAAAGCCACTTTAGAGCCGGTGAAGGGACTGAAGTCATTGGGGTGAGATGGCACCAAAGCTTCCATGGGAAGTCACTGGGCTCTTAAGCTCCATTTAAACCAGCCACAGGAAGTGGGAGAACTGGTGTTGCCAATGTGGCTCCAGGTTTTTAGAGCTCCAGAAGAAGGTCGAGCAGCTCCAACCGTGGGGAGATACGGTGGAGCATCATGGAGGGAAACCAAGACTTGCAGAACCCAGCAAAGCTTGTGTAGATAAATGAAGGTGGGTAAAAAGGAGACACTGGGGCCTCCAAACTGAGCTGAGCTGCAGCAGGATTGACATCCATATACCTGGAGAAGACACTGAAAAAATAGAATTCTCCACCATGTCTCTGCTGCTCAGAAAATCCTGTAGGTTCTTTTTCCCTTGTTTTGATGTTTGGAGAAGGCATCATCAGGAGCAGAGACCCGTCCTGAGCACAGACCTGTCCTGTGTGTTCCAGGGAACAGTGGCCTTGGAAGATACCATGGGAAGTTAACCTTTGACACCTTCTCCCACCACCGTGGTTGCCTGCACCGGAACATGGGGCTGGAGACCCTCAACACCCCGCGCTACCCCCCCTACACCCAGCAGAAGTTGGGGCTTCTCACGACCACCTTCGAGGTGAAGCGCAGGGGCACCTGCACCCTGCTCTGAGGCTCCCATGTCCTGCTCTGAGGATGCCATGGAGTCAGAACTGGGACCGTCCCCCCCCCTGTCCCTCTTCACCATGCTCCCCAATTCCTCACCGTGTCCTTTGCCTTGCTGGAACATGTCGGACAGCCAGGATGGACATTCCCTCCTGCAGCCTTGTGGCCTCTGCTCTGAACCATTTTCCAGGACACAGCTGAAACAACCAAAAACCTTTCCTTCAAACCTCTCTTTCTGGTGGAGAAGTGCTCCCATCAGTCCCATCTTGCCTCACATGGACTTTTCCTTTGGAATGAACCTCTCTGCCTCCTCACTGTTGCTCTTTGCTCCGTGTAACTCTGCCTGTAATAAAGACTTCGCATTAAACACTCTCCCAGCCTGTCTTTGTGCCTCCCTCCTCTGGTTTGGGGGGTGCTGGGAGGGTTGAGGGGGCGTGTTTCCCATGCCAAGTGGTTTTAGCTGGAATGGAGCCAGCAGTGACGTGTGGCGGGGCAGGCGGCCAAGGGTCAGGTGGCCAAGGGTCAGGCAGGCGGCCAAGGGGCAGGGCAGGAAGCTGGCAGCCATCCTGCTAGCTGGGAAGAGGGAAGCTGTGGTTGACAACCACCACGCAACCATCCCACACCGCGCCTGTGGGAGCATGGAGACTGGAGCTGTATTTCCGCAGCTCCCTGAGAGCGAGGCCAGGAGAGCCCCGGAGGGTGATGGTGGGAACGGGAGTGTGGATGGTGATGCCACGAGGTGAGAGTGTGGAGGGACAGAGGGACGGCAGGAGTGGTCCCGTGCTCCATCCTCTCCCTGGAGTGGCAGTTGGATGCCGGGCTGGGGTGATGCAGAACTCTAAGGAGCTGGCATCCCTCTAACACCTCTGTCCCCACAGCAGGAACCCCTTTGAAGGGCTGGTGAGCCACCTGCGGGCATCCTGGCTCTCTGGGAAGACTCGACCCATGGAATACCGTATGGCCCAGCTGAAGGCCCTGGGACATTTCCTGGATGACAAGAAGCAGCAGATCCTGGAGGCCACTGCCTCTGACTTGGGCAAGGTGAGAGGGGACAGGGATGGGAGGACTTGGTGGCTGGAGGAGCTGAGGGGCTCCCCAGCACAGCTGGGGGTGCTTTGTCCTCCTCTCAATTGGGTTCTAGTGCCCTGCCTGTGCTCTGCCCTGGGTTCACAGCCTCTGGATTTGGGAGACTGAGGTGAAGCATGTCCCAGTCACCGTCCTCCAGAGTCCATCCCTGCTCCGCCATAAACAGAGGGGCCTGTGGGGAGCCCCTTGGCATGGATAGCCATTCCCACACTCACCAGCCTCAGTTTCCCTTTTCCCTGGGCAGGTTAATCCCTGATTCTGTCCCTGCTCCCTGCCCTGAACTTCCTACCTGATGTCACCCCCTTCCCTCCCATGGGGCTCACCCGGGCTGTGACTCCCTGAGCCCAGTTCCCCTGGCTCTACAGCCAGAGCCTTAATACCACACAGAGCTCATTGTCTTCTCTTCTCCAACCTAGTCCCTTTGGACACCTTCCCAATTCTTCCTGCTATCTGGATGAATGGGATCTGCACAATTTTCCCTATTTTTAAGCAAATTAAAGCAATTTGAAAAACACCGTGTTGCAGACACAAGGGGGTACTCAACACCTTTAGGGACTCAAATCCAGCATGGGATGTAGAGGGCTCCCAAAATCCTTGGCAGTCCTGGGCAAAACACTATGGAGTGTTGGGATAAGAGTTGCAGGACATGCTAAGGTGACATGTTGCATCCTTGGTGTCTGCAGGCACCCTTTGAAGCTGAATTATCTGAGATCCTCCTGTGCAAGAACGAGCTCCATGAGACCCTGAACAACCTGTCCTGCTGGATGAAGGACGAGCAGGTGGACAGGACTCTGGTGAGAGGGAAGAGGAGAGAGAGACTGGGAGGCAGAGCTGGGTGGGATGGTGGTGCAGGGTGGGACCCGACGTGGCAGGTGTCCCACAGGCGATGCAGCTGGACTCTGCCTTCATCCGCAAGGACCCCTATGGGGTGGTGCTCATCATAGCACCTTGGAACTACCCCATCCACCTCTTCCTGGTGCCCCTTGTCGGGGCCATCGCCGCTGGTGAGTCAAACCTTCCAGTCCCCTGGCCCAGAGGATCCCAGCAGTGCTGAGCACTGGTGAGGGCACATTGTCCATAGAAGGGCTGGCTGTCACCATGTCTCCAACATCCTGTCTGTCTTCCCCAGGGAACTGTGTTATTGTCAAACCCTCAGAGGTGTCCAAGAAGACAGAAAGACTTGTAGCAGAAGCACTACCAGATTACCTGGACAAGGTGGGACACTCTTCCCATCCCTGTGGCATGGCTGGGGCACCCCTACACACACAGAGCTCCGTGCCTGCCCCACACACCATCTCTGGTTCCATGTACTGCCCAACTTCCTTCCTCCATGCCCAGCCAGTGTCCCACCCTCCCGGGATGCTGTTGGTAGGGAGAGATGGTGATAGGAAGGGGCCTTTCTCATTTCCTTGCAGGACTGCTTTGCTGTGGTGACCGGTGGCGTGCAGGAGACCACCAGGCTGCTGGAGAACAAGTTTGACTACATCTTCTTCACTGGTACGTCCCATAGGACAGAGAAGAGCCCTGCCTGGATTTTGTGTGAGGAGGAAGATGGGTTCCCTCCAGACATCCCTGCTAGGAAGGCAGGGATTGGGTTGGGGATGTGCGCCAGGATCTGTTGGAGGATCTGGGATGTGTATCTGAGCTCTGGCAGGACTCAGTGCCACATCCCAGAGCCGTGTGACGCCTGGTGGGATTCCCACCTCAATCCATGTTTTTCCTGCCTGCAGGCAGCCCCCCAGTGGGGCGGGTTGTGATGACGGCTGCTGCCAAGCACCTGACCCCGGTGACACTGGAGCTGGGGGGCAAGAACCCCTGCTACGTGTCTGACACCTGTGACGTGACCAACGTGGCGCGGCGCGTGGCCTGGGGCCGCTTTTTCAACGCGGGGCAGACCTGCATCGCACCCGACTACCTGCTCTGCACCATAGAGATGCAGGAGAAGCTGCTCCCGGCCCTGCGTAAGGCCATTGATGATTTCTATGGCCCCAACCCCCGAGAATCCCCGGATTTTGGCCGCATTGTGAGTGACAAGCAGTTCCAGCGCCTCCGGGCACTGCTGGGCAGCGGGCGCGTGGCCATCGGGGGACAGACGGACGAGGCAGAGCGCTACATCGGTGAGGCTTGGGGGTCACTCACATCTTCATCCCTGCTTGGAGCACATTTTGGGTTTGGAGACGATTATGATAGGAAGCAGGTGCTTGGCCAGGTGGCTTTTGTTGCAGGAGGGGGGTCCTGGGGGACAACCAAGGTGTCTTCTCTAACCTTTGTGCCCAGCTTATGCTGTCGGGTTTCCGCTCCACAGCTCCCACAGTGCTGGTGGATGTGCAGCCCTTGGATCCCATCATGCAGGAGGAGATCTTTGGGCCCATCCTGCCCATCATGATCATCACCAACATGGATGAAGCCATTGACTTCATCAACAGCCGGGAGCGGCCCTTGGCTGTGTATGCCTTCTCCTCTGATGACAAGGTAGAGCCAAGCCAGGACGACACCTGTCCTGTGCTCCTTGGCAGCTGTACCCAGCCATGTCTGTGTTCCAAGTGTTTCCCTTACAGCACACAGCTCTAGTTAGGGGACATGGATTGTGTTTGGAAGCAGGGGAATGGGGTGGAAGACCCACATCCCATCTTGTCTGTGTCACTCCCAGGTGGTGAACCAGGTCCTGGAGCGGACAAGCAGTGGAGGCTTCTGTGGCAACGACACCCTGATGCATGTGACACTGCCTTCGCTGCCCTTCGGAGGCATTGGTAGGTCCAAAATCCCCAGTCCCGGCCATTGGGAGCCAGGTGTGATCCCACCCATGGTCAGGAGGGGTCTCAGGAGGAACTCTCAGCTCCAGAGGGCTCAGTAGTCCATAGGGAAATTGTCCTCCAGAAGCACTTTTCACCTTGGGCTCTTGGGCTTTGTTGGACACTTATGGAGCACTCTGAGGTTCTTTCTCACCATATTCCCCATTCCAAGCTCTGTGTCCCCTGAATTCATGGAAATGTCTTGCTTAAAACATTGGGAATCAGGGCTTGAAGCAAACTGGTTTAGTGGAAGGTGTCTCTGCCTATGGCAGGAGATGGAACTGGATAATCTTTAAGGTCCTTTCCAACCCAAACTATTCCAGGATTCCATGATGGAGACACCCTCTTTTTATGGGATGATCTCCACTGTCAGCTTCTGGTTTTCACTCCTATTTTCCACCTTTTTTTCTCTCTTCTCACTCAGTTGGCCAGGAGGCATCAGTGACCTCCCTTTATCCTGGGGCTGCTGATGTGCAAGGTACTGAACCCAGCACATCACCCCAACCAGGATTAGTGTTTTATCAGGAAGACTGACTAGCTCAGGCTGACTCATGCAATTTTATCCCACCTGTTATCAAATGATGTGTGGATTTAGTTATTTTTTGCCAGTCTGCCTGGCTTTCCTGTGCTTGTTCCTGGCCAGCCTGCTTCCACCTCCCAACATTCATCCTTGGGGCTGGGCAACCTTGGACACTGTGCCTCTCCATCCCTGCAGTCTTGCCCCCTTGCAGCAGGGCTGGATCCAGCATGGATGGGATGTCTTTTGGAGGGTACTCCGGTGGTAGGGAAGCTCATCTGGTGGGAGCATCATGCTGCTGCCATCACCTCATCAGCGACACTCTTCCAGTTCTAAATATGTTAATTGAAATGGTAAAATCCACCAACAAGGGTTTTTGGGAATCTCTCCACCTCCCAGCCTGATCTTCCCACTCCAAACATCCACTTGGGTGTGCACTAGGTCACATCCGTGGTCCTCTTTGGGTCACATCCCTGGGAAGCTCATCTATGGCTTGGAAAGCAGCTGGATGAAGTCATGGTGCCGCTTTTACAGAGCTGGGACCTTAATTTTGGGTTCTTCCACCCAAAGGATGGCCAGATCCAGCTACCCTCCTCCTGTGCTGTGTATTCCAGGGAACAGCGGCCTAGGAACGCACCACGGGAAGTTCAGCTTTGACACGTTCTCCCACCATCGCGGGTGCCTGAAGCGCGGGATGGGCTGGGAGTGCCTCAACGCCCCGCGCTACCCCCCGTACAGCCAGCAGAAATTTGGGGTCATCCGGGCCATGTCCAAGGTGAGATGTAAGAATGACTGTACCCTGCTCTGAGGGTCTCCACATCCCACTCGGAGTCTTCCCACTCAGCACATCTCCTGCTGCTGGTCCCGGTGCTCAGGTGCAATGAAAGCTGTTTCTCCACATCCTGTGTGCTTCCCTTTCACCGCCCTGCACCCCTGATCACCCCAAAAGACCCTTGTCCCCCACATCTCCCTCCACCCCAGTCCCATATCCCCCTTTTCTGGTTCTCTGGGGTTTTATTTCCACTGGTACCACCAGAGCAGAGGGGTCCCCTGTGCCCCTCACTGCGTACTCTGCCTCAAGAGGGTCCACAACTCCCTGATCCCAAATCCTTGAGCTGGGATGATCCTGGCTTCTCGGGCTCTATTATCCCAGTGCCCTTTGCCCCATGTTCCCAGTTTCTCCTGTTCCATGATCTCAAGTTTTCTTTTGCCCCACGATCCTTGTTTCCTTCGCTCCATGCTGCTCCGTTCCCGGGGGGTTGGTTGTGCCGGTTCAGGGGTACCAATTCCTGCTGGACTGTGGGCTGTCCCGGCTGAATCCCACTGGGATCCCTCCGGGTGGGCGGATGGAGAGAACTGGACAAGGGGTTGAGATAAAGACCGGTTAATAGGGAAAGAAACATCCCCGGTGCCCGCCTCGAGGGATTCTGCCGGGGCTGACGGTTCGGGGCCAATGCTCCCGTCAGAGGAGGAGCCGGGCTTTGTACTGAATACAAGTGTCTGTGCCGCTCCGGCTTCGAGACCTTCCGGCATCCGTGGCCCGAGCTGCTCCAGGTACCGGACGGTAAGCTCCGGAAGCTCGGGAAGCCCTGGAAGAGCGGGAGGCTCCGCGCCGGCACCGTAACCACGCGCCTCCGACATGAACGCGCGCTTCCGCTTCCGCCCTCCCTTCGGACACGCCCCTTCTCCCGTCCCACCAATCGCCGAGCGGCACGGACACGCTCCGCCCAATCAGCGACGCTTCCCCGTCTTTCTTCCCGCCCCGCCGCCCGCCGCGGGATTCCCACCAATGAAAAGCGCATCCACCGCCTCTCGCCCCACCCACGACGC